TTTTTTTTTTGATATAGAGTTTCATTCTTGTTGCCCAGGCCAGAGTGCACTGATACAGTCTTGGCTCACTGCAACCTCTGCCTTCTGGGTTCAAGCAATTCTCCTGCCTTCCCCAAGTAGCTGGGATTACAGGTGTCCATCACCATACTCAGCTAATTTTTTGGTATTTTTAGGAGAGACGGGGTTTCACCATGTTGGTGGGCAGATCACAAGTTCAAGAGTTCGAGACCAGCCTGACCAACATGGTGAAACCCCGTCTCTACTAAAAATACAAAAATTAGCCGAGGGTGGTGGCGCGCGCCTGTAATCCCAGCTACTTGGGAGGCTGAGGCAGGAGAATCGCTTGAACCTGGGAGGCGGAGGTTGCAGTGAGCCGAGATTGTGCCACTGCACTCCAGCCTGGGCGACAAGAGCAAGACTCCATTTTTTTTTTTTTAAAGGATATTATGAAGGATACAGTTGAGGAGATGCATAAGGCAAAGTGGGGGTGGGGGCAAAGCTTCCACTCTCTCTCCTGGCGCCGCCCTCCAGGACCTTCTACATGCTGCGCTGCCCAGAAGCTCCCCAAACCCTGTCCTTTTGAGTTTTTCTGGGGGCCTCCTTACACAGGCATGATTGATGAAATCATTGGCCACTGGTGATCAACTTAACCTTCAGCCCCTCCCCACTCCTGGAAGATGGGGGTGCAGCTACCTGGGGGCTGCCAGTCACCCATCAACTCATTTGCAAAGAAATACACATTTATTACTTTGGAGATTCCAAAGATTTTAGGAGTGTACACCAGAAAATGGGACCAAATATTTATTTTGAGACCAAATATATTTTTATTTGTTACATGGTAAACAGGAGCGTCACCTGGCTGTGCCCCAGTGCCAGCGCTGGCGCCTGTTTGGACCCTGGGCTCACTTTCCCCCCGTGTGCTGGGTATGAGGGAACGCGTTGACCACTGGCCAGAAGCAAAGCAATTGGGTGGGCTGGGTGGGACGAGGAGGTAACAGCCCAGGCCGGGTCTGCGCCTGGCTCAGTGGGAGAGTATGCACGGGAAAAGCTGTGTGACCATCCAGAAAAAAGTGGGGGAGAAATGACCGCCTTGGATTGAAATCAACGACAGAGACACAACAGCAATATGTGAGACATACAGCCTGAGCAGATCTGGCTTTAAAACAACGCAACTCTAGAAGTCGTCTTGGGCCGGGCGCAGTGGCTCACACCTGTCACCCCAGCATTCTGGGAGGCCGAGGCAGCTGGATCAGCCGAGGTCAGGAGTTGGAGACCAGCCTGGCCAACATGGTGAAACCCCGTCTCTACTAAAAAAAAATACAAAAATTGGGCCCGGCGCGGTGGCTCAAGCCTGTAATCCCAGCACTTTGGGAGGCCGAGGCGGGTGGATCACGAGGTCAAGAGATCGAGACCATCCTGGTCAACATGGTGAAACCCCGTCTCTACTAAAACTACAAAAAAATTAGCTGGGCATGGTGGCGCGTGTCTGTAGTCCCAGCTACTCAGGAGGCTGAGGCAGGAGAATTGCCTGAACTCAGGAGGCGGAGGTTGCGGTGAGCCGAGATCGCACCATTGCACTCCAGCCTGGGTAACAAGAGTGAAACTCCGTCTCAAAAAAAAAAAAAAAAAAAATACAAAAATTAGCTGGGTGTGGTGGCGGGCGCCTGTAGTCCCACTACTTGGGAGGCTGAGGCAGGAGAATCACTTGAACCCGGGAGGTGGAGGTTGCAGTGAGCCGAGATCACAGTGCTGCACTCCAGCCTGGTGGCAGAAGGAGACTCCGTCTAAAAAAAAAAAAATGAGCCTCAGGTCTCATGACCATTGACCCAAGAGCTTCTAACTAACTACAGCCATACTCCTACATCTGCACACAGCCACCATCACCATCTGAGGGAATGCACAGTTTACTTCTTTTTTTTTTTGAGACAGGGTCTCACTCTGTCACCCAGGCTGAAGTCCAGTGGCACAATCACAGCTCACGGCAGCCTCAACCCCCAACCCGGGCTCAAGAGATTCTCTCACCTCAGCCTCCCAAGTAGCTGGGATGGACTACAGACTTGAGCCACTACGTCTGGCTGATTTTTTAAATATTTTTTGTAGACAGGGTCTCACTATGACACTCAGGCTGGTCTCGAACTCCTGGCCTCCTGTGATCCACCCGCCTTGGCCTCCCAAAGTGCTGGGATTACAGGTGAGCCGCTGCCCCCGCCGACCACTGTATATTTCATTCTGCAACTTGGGCTTTCCAGCTCACAGTATGTTCCAGACTGATCCGGGTTAATAGCCACTGCACTGGCTTCATCCAGGGCGCCTGCTTTTAGTATTGCCTTATATGAGTCATATCAGTATTTTTCACGTTGTCCTAATGAGGAATATTGTCAGTCTTTCATGATTCCAGGCCATGTTGCCACAGACATCTTTATATGTGTCTGGGAATTTCCCTCGACTTGGGATCTGGGAGTGGAATTGGCAGAGGCCACACGCGTCCTCAGCTTGACCAGATGTGGCAAAACTGCTCTCCAAGGTGGTGACGCCAGTTCGCCCTCCACACATTCCCATTTCACCGCAACCTTACCAGCAGCGTTGGCAGATTTTATGTTTTGCTTATCTCGTAGGTGGGCACAGATGATATTTTTAAAATATAAGGTAATGTTTAGTGAGCATTAATGTGGCCAGAAATTGTGCTAAGCCCTTTGCATGCATTACCTCAAATAGTCTTCGCCACCATTCTGTGAAGCAGGTAATATGCAGGCTGATTGTAGAGAGATGCTGAGGCTCGGGCCCGAGCACCCTGCTGAGGCTGCACAGCGGATACACAGCGAAGCTGTCGGGGACCATGACCGCCAGAACCACAGCCCGCCTTCCAACGCCGCAGTCTTGTGCCTCAGAGTTTCAGGGTGCTTTGCTTTTTGTTTTGGAGACAGGCTGGGGTGCAGTGGTGCAATCATGGCTCCCTGCAGCCTCCACCTCCTGGGCCCAAGTGGTCCTCCTGCCTCAGCCTCCTGAGTAGGTGGGACTACAGGCAGGCAGCACCACATTCAGACAATTTTTACTTAATTTTTTAGAGTTGGGGTCTCACTATGCTGCCCAGATTGATCTTGAACTCCTGGCCTCAGGCAATCCTCCAGCTTCAGCCTCCCAAAGTGTTGGGATGACAGGCGTGAGCCACGGTTTTTCTTTGTTACGTTTTGTTTCCAAATGTTCTATATTGAACTTGCGTTACTTCTATAAGGAATAAAAGAGCCTTAATAGGCTCTATTTAAAAATTGTTTTTAAGTCCAGCCTCTCCCTAAGCAGTGGAGCAGGGAGAGGTCCAATGAGGTGTGGGGCTGGGGTTCGATGCCCACTGCCTCTCTCATGCGTTCTCTCTTTCACCTGCAAGCGCTTCTGGAAGAGAAAGGAGTTCCTCTCCTGCCTATGGTGGGATGTCATGGCTGACTCCGGGCCCATCTCAGGCTCCCCGGAAGCCCTTCAGTCTGAAGGCCTCCTGCCCACCGGCCCTACTCACCAGGTCTGGTTGGTGCTGGGGTCTTGGTGCAGAAGGGAGCTGAGCACGAAAGGGACACCTCCCTTGGCTGTGAGCCAGGGCCGGGCCACATCCACATTGAAGGCGGCCAGTGGGGCCAGGCCTGTGGGGAAAAGAGCATTTCATGAAAGAGGCCTTTTTCTTTGTTTTTGAGACGGAGTTTCGCTCTTGTTGCCCAGGCTGGAGTGCACTGGCGCAATCTTGGCTCACCGCAACCTCCGCCGCCAGGTTCAAGTGATTCTCCTGCCTCAGCCTCCAGAGTAGCTGGGATTACAGGCACGCGCCACCACACCCAGCTAATTTTGTATGTTTAGTAGCAGAGACGGGGTTTCACCACGTTGGCCAGGCTGGTCTCGAACTTCCCACCTCAGGTGATCCTCCCGCCTCAGCCTCCCAAAATGAGCCACCATGCCCGGCCGAAAGAGGGTTTTTACTCTCATTATTCCACCAAATCCTGTGGTGTCATTAACCCTGTTTTTCAGCTGAGAAAAGTGAGATTCCCAAGGATCTTTCTGTGCGTGTGAGAGGGAGAGTGGGCGCAGGTGCATCTGCCCAGAGCCTCTGACCCTCGTACTAAACCAAGCTGTGCCGGTACTAGAGCGCCCCCCCACCCGCCCCCTGCTCCAAGAAGGCTTCCCTAGCTCCCTCTCCTCAAAGAAGCACTCCCCGCCTCCTCACACCCCTCACTGTCACGTCCACACCTGGCACGCAGCGCATACTCACATCACTGCGTCTTGCACCAAAGTTACAGTAGATGATGAGCCCCAGGAAGAAGGCCTGCCTGTGTTCTAGGTACCCCCTCCAAGTGACCCAAGTGAAAACATGTGTCCCCAAAACTACCTGCACAAGAATGTCTTATACCAGCTTTATTCAGAATAGCCCCAAACTGCAAACAATCCAAATGACCATCAACAGGAGAATGGAAGAGCCAGCTGTGGTGTATTCCTACAATCGAATACTACTCAGAAGTAAAGAGAAATGAACAGATATACAGCAACGTGATGAATCTCAAAAACCATTATGCTGGCCAGGCACAGTGGCTCACGCCTGTCATCCCAGCACTTTGGGAGGCTGAGGCAGGCGGACCCCTTGAGGTCAGGAGTTCGGGACCAGCCTGGCCAACATGGCGAAACCCCGTCTCTATTAAAAATACAAAATTAGCCCGGCATAGTGGTGGCTCGCACCCGTAAACCCAGCTACTCAGGAGGCTGAGGCAGGAGAATCACTTGAACTTGGGAGGTGGAAGTTGCAGTGAACCAAGATTGTGCCACTGCACTCCAGCCCAGGCGACAGCCAGACTCCATCTCAAAACAACAATAACAACGACAATAATTATGCTGAGTGACAGAAACCTTACATGAAAGACACCTATTGTATAACTCCATTTATATGAGGGTCTAGAACCAGCAACACTAATCTAGAATAAAAAAAATTGGCGCCAGGTGCGGTGGCTCACGCCTGTAATCCCAACACTTTGGGAGGCCGAGGCAGGTGGGTCACAAGGTCAAGAAATTGAGACCATCCTGGCCAACATGGTAAAACTCTATCTCTACTAAAAATACAAAAAATTAGTCAGGCATGGTGGCACATGCCTGTAATCCCGGCTACTTGGGAGGCTGAAACAAGAGAATCGCTTGAACCCAGGAGGCGGAGGTTGCGGTGAGCCGAGAATGAGCCATTGCACTCCAGCCTGGGCAATAAGAGCGAAACTCTGTCTCAAAAAAAAAAACAAAAAGTTTGCTTCAGAGGATGGGACTAACTAGGAAAGGACTAGAAGGAACTTTCTGGAATGATGAAAATATCCTATATCTGGCCGGGCGCGGTGGCTCAAGCCTGTAATCCCAGCACTTTGGGAGGCTGAGGCGGGTGGATCACGAGGTCAAGAGATCGAGACCATCTTGGTCAACATGGTGAAAC